AACCAAACTTCAAAACCAAATCTTTATATCTGTGGAAGAATTTAGTAAAGGTTTTAAGTAATTTGTGGTAACGAAATCCCTGGCTTAATAATTTACCAGTAATACATAGATTACGTTCGTTAAAATCAAAAACGTCACAACAGACACGGGCATAGCGAACGAATTGTGAAATATAAACACCGTAAGATGGTGCCAAAGGAACATCACCATCCAAAAAGGGAAAATTAACAATAGGGAATGAAAAATCGTCCCTTTTGTCGTAAATTTTAGTGTGGAGTTTCCCGTGTAAAACCGAAATATCTAAATCTAGGAAAGGACAGTTGTTACCGTTTAAATTTGATTTATTTAAAGTAAGTTCCTTTGGGTAAATTTCGGCAGTATATTGAGAAAATTCTTGATTATTTAACGAAAAAATATAATCAAGATAACGGTAAATGTTGTTGAATTTATCAATTAAATGCAATTTAGACGGGTCTTTGCTGAGTTTTGTCATAAACTGTGATTCATAACAGTACAAAAACAAGTCTGCTATTAAAGGGGCGCAATTAGTGCCTATAGGAATACCTACAACCTGTCGATAAACTTTGCTGCCGAAACGTACATAAATATTATCAAGGAGAAAACCGCTTCAATCATCTCATCACACCTCCAGTAAGTATATCTAGCATATTTACCTTTCTCATTAGAGAAGAAGGCTTTAAATGAGTTGCAGCAAATATAGTTGCATTCAGATTTACCAAACGACCATTTAATGGTGGTTTCATATCTTTCTTGGGAGTTTTTTTAAACAAAGTAAACTGAATCAGGAAAAATCACACTATAACTCTCCTATCCAAATTCGAATATCAAAACCCCAAACTTGCTGGCCTGTCTTTAAACATTGCTTGATTAAGCGAAGATGTAAATGTAAAGTGTCATTAATCTGTACATCTGTTTATGGGGATTCATTTTCTTCGTCTTAATAATGTGAATATTCTATATTGGTCAATATCTTTATAACGAGCGTATTCGAGGTGTAAAATGTTGACAAATACAATGCCTACCAGTGTTAAAATGAGCATAGAACATGGCATGATAGAATTATTTCGATTCTATTAAAAAACTTTAATAAAACATTTGTACTTCGAATCAGACCTATAACACGTTTGAAAGACAGACAATTTAATTTGATGAAGCCAAAACGTTATAGAAAAATCAAACGTTTCACGCACGATAAACATGAACAAATTTATGTAAACTTCCTTCTAAAATGATCTTATGTAATTTCATAACAAGAAAGACCAACCAACAGGGGGAGGGTTGGGATCCCGCTAACATGTTTAACCCCGCCACATTCTGTATGTATGTGCCTGTCCCAAGTCAGGAGCCTGTAATTCAGTGGTTGTCGTTTGTTGATGTGTTACATATTTGTTTTTCGTTAATTGTTTTGTATATTAATTAGGCCGTTAGTTTCTCGTTTGAATTGTTTTACATTTGTGATTTCGGGGCCTTTTATAGCTGATTATGCGGTATGGGTTTTGCTCATTGTTGAAGGCCGTACGGTGACCTATAGCTGTTAATTTCTGTGTCATTTGAACTCTTGTGGAGAGTTGTCTCATTGGCAATCAAACCACATCTCTTTTACACATAATTATGTCCATTTTGATCTCCAGTGTTGTTCAAATACAACTTACGTTGCGACTTCAATCGCGCGCAGGCATGTTCTATTGGAATTCGAGCATGGCTTTGTTTTTAAAGAGAAAGAAGATCGTCATATTAGAATGAGCCTTATAAATATAACAGGTTATGTACGATTGTCTACCCTTTCTACTTTATGCACGGAAAACGCCTTATATATAAAATATTTTATAAAAAGATTTTGTGAGGGGTTAATTTCATTAAAATAGAGGCAGGGATAAACTAAAATGTAATAAGTACTCCCGAAATAAAACTGCGTCGTTTAATCGGAAAGGGGAGTCAAAAAGGAGGTTCTAATATGACGTGCTTCTTCCGCTTTGTAAACAACACCGTGATAAAATTCTCGATATATCTATACTTAGCGCAGACTCAGAGATATACATAATAATGGCTGTTATAATATACCTCCCACGTAAATCCACACGTATCGTAACCCATTTGCAAACGCTATGCCGATTTTGTTGTGTTAAAAATTGCAATTGAAAAAAAGACTACAGAACCTTTATTCTTATTCTGATGCATAACAAATAGAATTTATGCATTAGAACTCGGAGAAATATACAAAATCAAAATCAAATAAAATTCCACGAAAGTCCATAAATGCTTTTGGCGCATTAAAGTCATTTCAATACATGACGTCATACAAATGAAAACGTTAAAGCTGTAGGTTTTTCCGTTACGTTAGCCATCGAAATTCGGAAAATATTGCATTAAAATTGAGTTTTGAGGTAGGTGTTGTTTTATTTTCTGTTCTATTGCAATATTTGCACATCTACTGAATTCAGCAAGTCAATATGGCGGCTCCTTAGTTACGAAATGTCAAATGTGGATTTGACGGTAGCTTACGAGAGAAAAATGTAAATTAGAAATAGCAAACGTTGAGGTTGAGAATTATTGGAATAAAACAATTTTTATTCTAGTGGTTATTTAAGCAATAATTCATGCAACCTATAGATTTATTGGAAAATTTTTAGCTTTATCTAACGGAGGTAAAAAAAATAACAGCCACACACACGGCATACCCACCCTCGCTTCAGTTTTTAAATCACCGTTTTTGTCCTATTAGAATCGAAATAATTCATGGAAGCCATAGATTTGTTGGAAATTTACACATGGCCTGGGCCGTGATATTCGTTAATTTTATCCCTCGCTAACGCTCATGATAAAATTCGAATATCACGGACAAGGCCATGTGTAAATTAAGAAATAATTCATGAAAGCCATAGATTTGTTGGAAATTTACACATGGCCTGGGCCGTGATATTCGAATTTTATCCTGAGCGTTAGCGAGGGATAAAATTAACGAATATCACGGCCAAGGCCATGTGTAAATTTCCAACAAATCTATGGCTTCCATGAATTATTTCGATTCTAATAGGACAAATACGGTCATTAAAAAACTGAAGCGAGGGTGGGTATGCCGTGTGTGTGGCTGTTCTTTTTTACTCCTTGTTAGATAAAGCTAAAACATTCTAATAAATCTGTAGCTTGCATGAATTATTTCGTAAACAACCGCTAGAAAAAATGTGCTTAATTCTTTTAATTCTCAAACCCAACATTTGCCATTTTTAATTTACATGTTTTTCTCGTAAGCTACCGTTAAATCCAAAATTGACATTTCGTAACTAAGGAGCCGCCATATTGACTTGCTGAAATCAGTAAATATGCGAATAATGCAATAAAATAGAAAATAAAACAACACCTACCTCAAAAATCCATTTTAATGTAATATTAAACGAATTTCGATGGTTCACGTAACGGAAAAACCTTCAGCTTTAGCGTTTTCATTTGTATGACGTCATGTTTTGAAATGACTTAAATGCGCTAAAAGCATTAACGGACTTTCGCGGAATTTTATTTTATTTTGATTTTGTAGATTTCTCCGAGCTCTTGCGAATTAATTCTTTTTGTTATGCATCCGAATAAAAATAAAAGTTCTGTAGTCTTTTTTCAATTGCAATTTTTAAAACAATAAAATAGGCATAGTGTTTGCAAATAGGTTCCAATACATGTGGATTTACGAGGGGGTATATTGTAACATCCATTATTATGTATATCTCTGAGTCTGCGCTAAGTATAGATATATCGAGAATTTTATCACGGTGTTGTTTACAAAGCGAAAGAAGCACGTCATATTAGAATTTCAAACAAATCTATGGCTTCCATGAATTATTTCTTAAATTTGATATACTAGCACTGTTTAGAGAATACAACATTTTGAACAATATATTTCGCATCTGTATTACGGTTTTTTTTTTTTATTAATTGTGGTCTCCTTCGTTTACCTAATTGCACTGAGTCCTGTCATTCGTATTTCACATTTTTTTCTCGATACAAATACAATTGTGTAACTAAACAGATAGAACATATGCACGGGCTAGTCGAGAATAATACAAATCTGTTGAGTGGAGAAAATTGTATTCAATATGTGGCAATGAAGGAATTTTGATCATTTGTTATATAACTCGAAAAATTAAGATGAATAAATTACTACTAGTGGACAAAGTAATTTAAAATAAAATTTACAGGCACATATTCTGATATACGAATTAAGTTAATTGTACTGAAACCGACAAACATTTCAATGATGCTCAGGGCAAAAATATGTGATGACAAAAACGATAGAAACTGCGAATAGCTAATAAAATCTTTAAGGACAAATTTAAACTTATTGTCACACCAAGTCAAGAAACTTAAAAAATGTATAAAGAAATGTGTTCCTTTATTTCAAACGACTTAAAAAAAACAAAATTACAACATTAAATTCAAATCAATCCGTATGTTCATACCAATATAAAAGTACTAAGCAACTGGATAAGTGGGTCGTTTTGACTGATTTGCATTTTAAGCAAGACGTTTGTTAGTTGAACACAGTTGACATGCAAAAGTTTAGTTTAAATAGAAACAAAGATATGCGGTATGATTCCCAATGATACAACTATCCACCAAATAATGTGGATGTAACTATAGATCACCGTACGTTTTTTTATGTACAAAACCAAGAGCGAATAGTGAGCTATAAAAGATTCCGACTTGACAAAATGCAAAATAATCCAAACAATCAAACCTATTTTTGATATACCAATGAAGGAATAACAAATAAGAAGGACAGAAACCAGAGACCTGAAAAGATCTTTCCGCCAGTTTACATTCAAATTAAGATGTAATGTAAACGATTTCCAAACAAGAGAGCTCAAGTGCATTTTGATTATAACTGAAAAATCAAAATATCTAACCAGAATTTGATGCAAATTGGTTGTTGTGTAGAATTCATAAATGCCCTATTTCCCATTTTTGATAATTTTTAATGCATACAGGGTAATTACAAAAAATGCGTGCATGAAACTCACATGTACAAGCGGATAACGTTTATATTAATTATTCTAATTTAAATGTACAATTAAGAACAATTAATTTGGGTTAATTTATTATTATACACCATGTCCTTCTTCAAACGTGTGTTGAAGTGTTAGTTCAATTTCTTCCAATTCTTTAATCTCTTTTTTATAATGTCGCAATACATTTTTAAAACATTTTAATTTCTGTAATGTTTCTGCATTGAAACATGGTTCTTCCTGTTCTGATCTCTCCAAACGACATTTTATGTAGCTAACACAAGCTCTGCGATTAGAAATTTTTAAATGTGTTTTTACGTTTTTGACTCCATCTTCAAAATTTGGAAGCAAATCTTGAAAACATTTTTCGGCCTGAAGAAAATCACCGATGGCAAAATAAAGATCTCCGATAGAGTATACAAGACCATGTTTACTTCGATTAGGTATTATCATGTTTTCAATACTTTTTCTAGCCTCTAAACGCATCTCCTCAGTATCTTCAACTTTTAGTAGTGATATATAACATTTAATGATCATCTTGGCATATAAAGTTTTCGCATGACAATCTTTAATGCCCAAAACCTTCAAAACACCAAATTCCAAGTAGTCGGTTTCTTCATTAAATCTCTCTTTACAAGTACCTATGACACCTTTTAAGGTAATTGCTTCCACTGTTTTCCACTTACAAAAAAAGATAAAAACGGCCTGCATTTCGCTTCTTTCTGTCAACCAGGAATAAAGACGATTTAATTTCACACGTTCCCTATATTGATTGCATGTGCAATGATCGATGGATTCTTCAGAATGCTCTTGGTTGTCGTTCAAGTAAGTCATTTTTGAAAGTTTGCTTGAAATTGCCAAATAAGGAAAGAATGCCGTACCTAACGACCAATCAATGTCGTCTGGTTGATAAAATAATCTTCTCCCAAAGGTGTGAAGAATGGAGATAAGTAAACCGAACAAAAATTCACTTCCTAGCATCTCTTCCTGAACTGCGTATCCTTTTGTAAATAGTTCATTTTATTCGTCTTGCACGAGGTGAGTTGCTTTCTCTAATTGGTGATTTTCTAGAACGCTTTCAAGGATTTCTACGTCGTTTGCATTTCTATGTTTATTCAACACATAGTCCTTACTAACTTTCTGAAGTACTACCAGGTATTTATGTATAAACGTATTTGCAGCTATAAATAGTTCTGTAGCTTTTTGTTCAAACGGAGCAGTTAATTCATCAAATGACAGCTTCATTAAATCAACCAAATCAGCATGAAACTTTTTATCATTTACGCCAAGAAGTTCGAGCATATCGCTTTTAGCCTCATCAAAATATAAATTTGCCTCATTAAACATTTCACTAAAGCTGAAAGTATATCCAATGAGGTCCTTTATATATATGATATGTATTTTACTTTCTAATTGAAAAGAGCTTGTGTCTACCGTCGAAAACAAATCCGTTGCATCTTTTTCACATGTTTTATTTTTTTTCAAATGGCTTATCACGGAGCGTGCATGTGGCAAAAGTAAATTGTGACGACGGAGATCTAAACAATTTTTATTATCTTTATCCATCAACAGATAAAAAGCTCTTATTAATTTTCTCAAGATTTTTTCATTTGTTAAATGATTAATGCCTTGCTTGTCGATGGTCATGTATATCTGTAAAGCTAATCTAACAACATCATGAGTGCTGATGTTTCGCTGCTCTGTGATTTTTTCGGATGAGCTAAATGAAGAATTTCTTTCCTCTATTGAGCCAAATGAACAATTTTTTATTTCATACAACAGATCATTTATGGAAAAGAATGAAACCTCGGAATCAAACTTTGTAAACAGTTCAACTGGTATAGTTTCTACTTCAAGAAACTGTAGTGAAAGTAACATTTCAAAGATATGTTCTTTATCCTCTCTTTTATATTTCTCATGCATATTCTCGACTAAGCTGATTAATGAATGAATAAGAGTCTTATCTGAAATTTGATCCTTCACAATCATGCTTTCTTCAAATTCAAGTAGATCGGCGGGACGATTTAATTGTTTTACCAGATCTTTCACGGTCAGTTCAGTTCCTTCCATGTACGTTCGTGCAATTTGTAAGCCCATCGGATTGAAGCTAAATTTTCTAGCAAGCTCGGCATAATGTTTCATGTCAGTTTCTTGACAATCGTTTCCGTTATTGAGAAATTCCACTGATTCATTTTCGGAAAACCCTCTGATTTCTATAACTTTTGAATCTTTATTTGTATCTAATGATAGAGATGTAGTAACTATTATCTTAATATTTTTCACTCTTTTACATGTTTTAATAAAGTTGCTTACTATATGTTTGGCTTTTTGTTTTACATCATCTAAAAACAAGATGTGATTTTGATGAGCTTTGGTCCCTAACTGTTTTGCTATTACATCAATAACCCTAGATACTGCGTCTTCCTTTGATTCTTCTTTTCGAAGTTCAAAATGTTCATTATCTTGTAAATTATTGCATAGTTCATGTAGAGATATTGCAAACATCGACACATCCGTGCATCTTAACTTGTACACAATACCTGTATGTTCTACTTTCCTTGCATTAAAGCAGTACCGAAGTGCAAGCTCAGATTTACCAGTTCCAATCAAACCTAAAACATAAATCATATTGGGCATGCAAAAATACAAAGTTTTGATGAGCAAACTATGATGCAAGAAATCAGTTAATTGACAAGAATGATATTTCTAAAAATGAATATGACATTTCTGGCAAAATTCTCACAGAAAACATAAAAATTAAACTTCACTAAAATTTTAATTTAAAAAAACAAATAGAGCCTAATGTTGTATGTAAGAAGCATTAGTTGTCCGTAATGTTTCATGCAAAATTGACTGTAGATAATTATCTTATTATTTTTGGTCCTTTTTGGTAATATAGCTCTTCAACAGTTTCGTTTCTTATATATTCTTGGCTCTCACATATCCAGCTTTAAGCGTTCCTGATGAAGGTAAATCCAGAAAAGTGCTTGGATGTAAAATAAAATGGTGGTTTAAATCATATTGTCCCTTTTCGAAAAATCCGAATGCACAAAATAAATTCTGATTAAAAAGTAGTGACGTCATATATATTTTTATGCAAACGGCACATTTTAATAAATAGTGATATATGTTGATGTTTACTAGATTAGAGCTCATCATCTACCAGTTGAAAATGTTTTCGAAATGATCATTTGTTGCATCAGATTAATTTTGGAATCTTATAAGTGATAAGTTTTTGTTAAAAAAAAATCGATATAAGAAAATTAAACATTGAGGCATATTCTTTTAAACATCTGTTATGGCAAAAAAACTAATTTAATCCTCGTCTTTTTAATTTCACAAATATAAACGCAAGAAGTTGAAAATACATGTAATACATATATTGATAAAAAAAAGTCTTAAACTCTTGATCAATTTCAAAGGTGAAGTCAGTTATTATAAAGGCTTATACGATGCATTTTTATAAAGGTTTTGATGAATATGAAATTAGGTAAAAACTAAAAAGGTAAAACAAAACTATTATTTTCTTATAGTTTTATTAGGAATTGAACTTATTTGCTGTACCTTGTTTAGACTTAAAACCTATGTCTTATGTTTAATTTCTAAAACTTATTTCGATATCTATAATAATAATGTCCAATGAAAAAAATTTTTTGCGTTATACAAATTTCGAGTACGATTATCATACTCATACTCATTCTCAATTTTATCATAATTCTATGAATCAAAATACTAATACTGGATTTGGTGTTTCGAGCTCAAATTTGAGTACTCTGAGTAGTGAGTGAAATTTTATGACCAAGAACACTAATTTCTGCTATTTCATAGGTTTATAAATGTCGGGATTTTGAAAATCATGTTACAAACATGGTCTTGTCATACCTTCTGCGCTAGTGGTAGTTTGCTTTAAAATGGACATACACATAAACAAGAGCCAACGACTTATCTTCTTGTTTGATAGTCCGAGTAAGAAAGTCTAATAATCATGAAACCCCCATTCTAGCATTTTTTCCAAAATATCAGGAGTCTTTGGAGAAATCTTATTTAATCAAAACTCACCTTTTAAAATGACTATTTGTTTGATCTCCATACAATCCTGTAGCTTCTTCATATTCGTTTCTGTATTTATTGGGTTTTCACTTAAATGCCACTCTTCAATGTTACTACATTCTGAAATATATTTGATTTGTTGTTGTTATTGGTTTTGGTAGGCGGCTTACTTATGAAGTAATTGCGCCTTAAATTCATATAACATAATTATTATGTATATACGCTCAGTCCTTAATTTATTTTTAGTATTACATTTTGGCGAGTAATCATATGAAACTGTGACGAACATGGTTGACTGTGTTATAATAAAGTATTTATATGGAGAAAAAAACCACAGAAATAAAGGTAATAGGAAAATGAAAAAAGCATAAAAATAAACCGATAGTTCCTAATGAAATATGAATTATTAACTGATAGGGATCATAAAATTGTTTAGAAATTTCATCTGGTTGTTCACCTTTGTGTCGTATGGGATATACTTATAAAAATATAGTATATTAAGAAACACAAAACAAGACATGTGCTAGTTGAATGCTACCAATGTATATTTGATTTCAAATGTATGTCTTTAAATTGTTGTGACTGAGGTTCCTTTATGGTGCTTCTTGATCAAAGAGCTCATCGGAAGCACAAAATTATTAAGTGTTTTCGTCTTAAATTCGAATCGTGTATATATCTAAGTTGTTCACTGCTTTATTAAATTACATATATAGCTATATTATTTTAGTCGTGTTTTATTGATTGATGCAATGAACGTGCCTTACAGGACAACAAGCTATACCTAGAGGATGAATATGATTTGGATGATTTAAGATAAATGGGGAAAAAATTCAATAAGAAAATTAGCGGTTTTGGATGTGTCTACGACATGTGTTTACTCCATGTTAAAATCTTTAGTCGTAGTCTTTACTGTATATGACGTGCGGCACTTTAAATTAACACAACCAATATGGATAATGGCCTGACTTTCGGTATTATAGAATGAATAGTTCGTACACATCCCTTAACCCCATGGACGTACTAGACTGCTCTATAGATAGAGGTGCTGGTCGCTCAAACTACAATTCTACCAGAGATCATTTATCAAAGGTGTCATAACTAACAGGGTTGATAAGAGCTATTAATAGCCCTAATTATTTCAAATCACGAAAAACTTTTACAAATACCAGTTTTATAATTTAGCGTCATCTACATAAGACCTATTTATTAATTTCTCAAAATAGTGTTACGGTTAAATTATGTTTTCTATGTAGCAACATTCCAGCAACGCCTGCATACGGAGTATGTATCTCCAAGTTGATACAATATTCCAGAGCTTGTGTTTTCTATCATGATTTCCTTGTTTGAGGGTTGCTGCTTACAATGAACATTCTAAAGCAAGAGTTTCAAGAAGTAAGGTTGAAATCAGCCCTTCGTAAATTTTACGGACGCCATCACGACTTGGTTGACCGTTATGGATATCTGTTTCACAGATGGCGACGAATTGTTCCAATTGTCATAACTACAAGCCCGTCCCCTGTCGCCCTAATGTGACCTACCTCATAAGACATATCACCGGGTTTGTACTTACATGAGTATCACGGCGGGTGCAACATGTAGAACCGGATCTGTTTACCCTTCCGGATTACTTGAAATCGCCCCAAGTTTTTAGTGGTGTTTGTGTTGCTCTGTCTTTGGTTTTTTATGTTATGTTTTGTGTAATGTTGTTTATCCGTTTATCTTTTTCTTTTTTAGTTATGGAGTTGTTCATTTTGGATTTATGAGTTTGAATGTCACTGTGGTATCCTTCGCCTCTCCTTCCAAATGTCAAGAAATCAAGAATCTTGATTATTTCAGTTTCTGCATATATTTTGTTTGAATAAGAGTGGGATTTTTCAAAGTAAGATTTGTCCCTCCCTTATATCAGATATGTGAATATATGTTGGCTGTTCTGAGTATCATAAATCACTATGAAGGTTAAGCAAGGTTATTGCTGTCATAAATACTTTAACCCTATGTTGTATAGTATTGTTAACTGCGAGGAAAAACTTAGGCAAATTATTTGACCCTTGAACTTACACAAAGATGAATTTAATCATGCAAAACTTTTCACAACACCTCCAAAACAATATATATATGGACATTCGTTTTTCGTGTTACATGTACATGTATCACGATTTTGCGCTCTCTAAAAATATACTTTTAATCTATCAAATATGATTACTGTCTATATAAATAACAGCCACGTACTTTATTATGGGTTGGGGGAGTACTCTATCTTATCCTGATTCTCAGTTTAAAAACATGTTTTGCCATTCAAAAGAAAATTGTTCTGAATAATTCGTTAAAAATTGATGAAATATTAATCTCCTTCCCCGCAATAAAAACGTCATGAAAAAATTCGAAAACAAAACCATTGCATACTTCTTTCATAAACTAAGTTTGGTACAATAAATGACTTACAAAGTGACTTATATTTTTAGTTCACCACTTTCGGGCAGTAACAATTCATTTGTGTCTTGCTTCATGCAGTTACAGTACTATTCATTATTGTACCTGGATAATGATTTGAGCTGCGTCGGATAGAAATCGACCTTATGCAAATGAATTCGAATACATCTGTAAACCTATTTCGGGTTGAAAAAATCTCCACGGAAAGCCTGTAACTGTTTGGACATTGAGTTGTCATAAGAACCCTACAAAGCAGTTCAAAATTCATCTTTTATTTCGTATTTGAATGTTATATAATCAATCATAGTCTTACACATGTACATGTCAACGTGCACTTGCATAAGGTCGATTTCTATCCGACGCAGCTCATTTCTAATGATTACATCAAGATTAATTAGTGAGTTTTATTTCACATTACAAATAAGTCGTAAGGCGTATACAAACCTGAACACACCAGTAAAAAACATCTCACTTTAGTGTGGTCGGTAAAATAAGATGCAATTCCTGCAAATCTTCCAGAAAATAATATTACGGTATATAAGTCAAACAATACACATTTTTCTCTACGCACTTCTAACGTTTGCTTCATCTGAACTTTACCGTTATCATTTGATGGTTCTATAGACAGATTCAAGTTTTTGAATCTCAGTTTTTCACATTCTTTTACCATTCCTTGTGTACCTAATCTCTCGATAGCCTATGAAAATTAAAATTAACATCAATTTATAAAAAATAATCCGTTACCTTTTGCCGAAGTTAAATACATACGTACGGTTATTCACAGTAACACTTTGTAATTTTAGAGTACTAGTAATATAAATCAATCACATCATTTAGACCACTCGTTGCCGTTGGAACAATATTATGTTAAACTGGTGACAGTTATCCAGTGTTTTTTATAATGCCCTCATGTATCGCCTAAATATAATTTGAACGTATAATGTCATTGCTGAATTTATAATTATGTACGACAAACACGCGCTAAACTGTTGAAACTCAAGATTTCTTCAAGCTGATAAAACCATAGTTTAAGCAGTAAAACATTGTGTTCTTTCAAATGTTTTACTGCAGAAGTACTGACTTTTTTGCTGATGACATTTTCAAGTTATAATGAAATTCTGACTCGATTTTATCAATTGTTTTTTAAGCATTACGTTAACTAATGTTCAGTTTGAATTCTGACTTTATTTCGCAGTATGTGTAAGGAATAGGTTCATGACTGTATCCCCAGACAACAGTCTAAAATAGAAAAAGATTGAGCAACACAAATTCTACCAAAAATGTGGGAGGAAGTTGTTCCTCACAAGATGAATAGAATCGCCTCTCTCAGACTAAGACAAAATAGATCCATCAGTATTTAGTTTGTCTTAATGACATTTTTTCTGTCCTATAACAGCATGCAGATGGACTTAAACTTTTAAACAACGAAACAATAAACTCACGCCCCTTATATCTTTCCATGCTTTGTTAAATTTGCCATTGTCTATTTTCCTATTGCCAATGTGTGCTAGGTGATTTCTGTAGTATTTAAGTCTTGCTAAATCTGATTCAGGTGAATCCTCTTATGTAGACGAAACGCGCGTCTGGCGTACTAAATTATAATCCTGGTATATTTGATAACTATTTCAAGGGACATACAACATCATACTTTCTCTTTTTCAATTTATTTGGTTGATAAAGGTACTAGCAAATGGTACATTTCTATCATTATACAAAGTTATGCTAATATTTTCACTTAATGATTAGTTTGATTTATAGCACAGACCAGTCTGTAAGTGATATTATAACTTATTAAAGATTGACTTTAACAGACAGAGTTAATCGATATGTGCTGCTTTGTGTCGTCATTTTTGGTTTTCATGCTTTTAAATGATATATATATTTCGTCTCCTAAACGTTGGTCGCGAGTGTGCCTGATGAAGGTCAATTCAAACAACAAACATGTCATTCATTACCTCAAGTCATTACTACATTAGATGTGTATGTCATATAAATATCTTTCCATACAATTTACTCAATCAGTACAAAGTTACCACATTCTGAAATGACAAATTTTGGTCTGAATCTGTCAAAATTTTCTCTTAAAAATCTGAAAAGAATTATTTTCAAAATCTTCTAAACACTGTATTCATTCTCTCAAATATCGTCCTGAATATGCATGAAATATTTGCCACTGGACGTTAAGCAAACAACAATCAATCAATCATTCTCTCAAATACGACAGACACGCGCTAAACTCTTGAAATTTTTTGATGTCAAGATTTCCTCAAGCTGATAAAACCATAGTTTAAGCACTGAAACATTGTGTTCTTTCAAATGTTTTACTGCAAAAGTACTGACTTTTTTGCTAATGACATTTGCACGTTATAATGAAATTCTGAATCGATTTTATCAATTGTTTTGTTAGCATTACGTTAACTAATGTTCAGTTTGAATTCTGACTTTATTTCGTAGTATGTGTAAGGAGTAGGTTCATGAATGTATCCCCAAACAACAGTCTAAAATAGTAATCGATTGAGCAACACAAACTCTACCAAAAATGTGGGAAGCAGTTTTTCCTCATGAGATGAATAGAATCGCCTCTCTCATTTTTACACCTCAGACTACGACAAAATATATCCATCAGTATTCAATTTGTCTTAATGACATTTTTTATCTATCCTATAACAGCATGCAGATGGGCTTTAACTTTTAAACAGCGATACAATATACTCACGCCTTGGATTTTCAGGAGATCATTGTAATCTACAAAGACCAAATTTGTAGTGTCTCTTTGAAATATTGAAATTGCTTTTATATATATAAAAAAAAATAATAGGCGAAACATTCCAGAGTGACACTCAAACTCTTAAGTCGAAACTGACAACGTCATGGCTAAAAAAGAAAAAAAAGACAAACAACAGACAAACAATAGTTCACAAAACACAACATAGAAAACTAAAGATTGAGCAACACGAACCCCACCAAAAAGTGTGGGTGAACTCATGTTCTCCGGAAGAGTAGGCAGATCCTGCTCTGGAAGGATAAGCATATAATATGACTTTGAATATATCTAAGTGCTTTCAACCAATATAATATTGGGTTTGATGTAAAGTATGTAGATCAAATGTAATCATGATTTTAGTAAGGAGTTATCTACTGTTAAGGTCTACTTACAGTTTACCACAGATTATTTCAATAAATGAGTTACAACAGCTCTAAAGCACATGATTGAAACTGTCTACATTTTTGAAACAAACAAAAAAATCGAAATGTGTTTAAGTTTACCTGTGCAGTAAATTTGTAAAAAAAAACTTAGATTATTCATTTCTATCATACTGATGATATTTTCACCCAAATATGACAGAAATAATTATGAAAATAATTCATTCAACATGATTTTTTTACACTGATTAAGGCATATCTAGACAAATTTAGGATGTTAAGTATCTGTTAATAAATAATTAATATCTTCAGAATTTGCAAGCAAAATTTAGAATGTTGTGTATATGTTAACACAAAATCAGAATGTTAAGAATCTGTTAAGACAAACTCAGAATGTTTAGAGTCTCTTGACACAAATTAAGATTATTGGTGTTTTTTCAAGAAGAATTCAAAATGTTAAATATACGTAAAATATACATTCAGACAGTATTCACACTTTTCAGAATGATTAACCAATTTTCCTAATCTGACAAAAATTTGTCATTACAGAATCTATTGATTTGAAGTGATTGTGAATGACAAAACCTTTTTGTTTTTTGTTTTTTGTTTTTTGTCTCCATGTATTTAAGAGTTTGTCATACATAATATGATAAGAACGGTTTGGAAAAGGATAGTTTTAGTAACTGCTACCCTTGTATCTGGAATGTGATATTTGAACCGGGTAAGGGAAGAATGTGCTGTTGAATAGAATTAGATGGTAGTCGTCTGAAATTTGAAGAAATAATAATTCCCTTACATATTACATGTGCATGTGTAAAACACAAAAACCAAAAGGAAGTCCACTTTGAAAATTAACGCTGAAAATGTTGTAAATCAACTTGGTTTATCAGTTCCAAAACTATATCCAGGGGAACCTACCTATGTATACATGAAAATTAGTTTTAATTTCCTTATAAGAAGGTGGAAGTTATCATTGTCATCAAATGTTTGTTTCAAATTATTTTTACATTTTAATGACTGCTGACCTCCTTTTAGCTTAAATGAAAATGAAGACGAATTCTCGTGCACATTTAACTCAAACAAGATCAAACTTGCACATCGTTAACATTTTCGCCATAGAAGATCTGAGGTCATTGGTTCTTATCCGATGTTTTGAATATTTTAATCGATATACAATTATTTAACAATTTCTTAAATTTCTGCATATTCTCATAAAAATAAGGAGATGTGTGTGACAAGATTGCCAATTGGACAACTATCCATCAAAGTTCAATTGAAGTCAATGTATTTCTGGTCATTTTTATTATCTAAAATTTAACAGACGACGACGGACGACGGACGTCAAAGCTCACATGGCATTTTAGGTCAAAAGGTACGATTCTTTATAGAAGAATGGATGTTTCGATAAAATGGACAATTCATTTTAGAATCAACTTCCTTTTTCGATTAAACAAGATAAAATTGACGCAAATTAATTAATAGAGTTTATCAAGAGTCTGCAGATGTTTCAAATGCTCGTTAAACTTACCATTATAAGTGTTGACATAAAGTGGAAATTAAGGTCATATGTGTAACTATAAATATCCGAGACTTCTTAACACAATAAGGGAATGTTCACACAAGAACATACATGTTTTAAATCTATTTTAGTATAAGGGGACGACCATTTGATATTCTGGGGGGGGCCAGGAGGATTTTGAAAATAAATAACTCAGCCTTGATAATCACAAAAATAAATGGTTTGTTCTGTGGTAGTTTGAAAATAAATAACCTGACTTGCAATGTATTAAAAATAGATAACTCGGCAGGTCTATTTGAGAGCATGAGATTGCACCAGATTCTTGATAAAATTCAACTTTTTAAAAAAAATAAATTGGGAATCACTTCCCAAATCTTTGAATAATAAAAGTATAAATATTATTTAAAATACTTGAAATGTCTGAAAAATGGGTTTCATTTAACTTGAGGTATATTGTCTCAGGAACACTTAACTCACTTTTATTACATATGGCAGTAACTACATTCAGGCAAATGCCTCATGTAGGAAATTTCAAAACCAAAAGCTTGTCTTCATATCAAATTGTTTTCACGGTAAGTGTCTTGCAAGAAACAAGTTCTGTTCTCCCTCAGACGTAGCTCCTGTTTTTTGAGGATCAATGTTTCTTATTTATTTGTCTTTTGTTCATTGATTGCCCTTCTGTATTCTGTTAGTGTTGAATTCCTTTTGTAATTTAGTAATTTTGTTATTAACTTGATCAAGAGTTTAAAAAAAAAACAGAAGCCACATACTTAACTATGTGAATTAAATTTTTGCTTTATCTTTGTCTTTTGATGTTGTTCCTAAAAACTCCTAAAAAAGTCTTACACTGAATCTATACATGTTGCTTTGAGACCAAAATATTGTCAAAAAATGATTAAAACAGAACTTTCATTTTCAGATTAAGAAAGGGTATGGGAAACACATTTTGCATCATTAGTTCTATAGCAACTTGGGGCCTTCAGCGGCTCCAAAACCCTTCAAATTTTTTTTAGCCTAGCTCCGCTCGG